GGCAGCTACCAACTTATATAAAAGCATAATAGAACATTAAACATTAAAAAACACCCCTATACAGGGCTGCCTTCAGATGGCTTGGGGGTCGGATAATTCCATATCCTTCAACATATCTCTGATAAAATAGGGATATCTTAAGGAAAAGCAGGACATTCCAGGATCAGCTCAGGAACCAGAACAGCTTCTGTAAATCTGGGACTGTCCCTGAAAAATACCCTGCAACATTTCACTGATGAAAATAGGGACGTCCTAAGGAAAAGTAGGACATTCTGGGATCAAATCAGAAACTGGGATGGCTTTTGTAAATCCGGGACTGTCCCTGGAAAACAGGGGCACTTGGAGGGTCTGAAACACAGCATCTCACAGCATGTTATTACATATGTATCCCAGGTGCAACTGTAAAGCATAATAAGGGCAACAGCCTAAAAAATAAGGGAAGATAAAATCAGCAGCAGGATTTCTAAAGTTCAAAAACACTGCACTAATACAGCAATCTTCTTTCTATTCAAAAGAAGCTCTTAATCCACAGAAAATGACGGAACCTCCCAGCTCACATCTGGGAGCTTTCCTTTCTTCTCCCACTGTCTCTCAGTCTCTCACTCTGGGAGATCTTAACATTCTGGGTCCTTCTGCCATCCATCTGCCATTTTCATGTGGCTGTAGACCTTGGCTGCCAGTGGCTTCACAGAAGGGGAGACACCAAAGGCGTAATCCCCGTGGTGTCTCCTCTCCCTCTCTTCCTCAAGGTGAGTCCCATGGGCATTGACCCATCACTGCTCAGCCTGGTGCCTGAAGCATGCCTGGCTTTCCCCTCCCCATCCTGAAACACACACTCGGGGTTGGTAGAGTCCAGTTCGCCTGCTTCTGTGAAGCAGCAGCAACAGCAGCCAAATAAAGCTGTCCTGTGCACCAAATCACCAGGAAATTAGTGCTTTAAAAAATCAGCAAACTCTCTTAGAGAATATATTCCTCGCCAGAGTCTCTAATACCAAAATAAACAATAATGGCGACAGAAGACAGAAGTCTTGTCACTTTTATGATTTTACACTTTTCCAATATTTAATTTTTCTCTGTCAACATAGCCTGCTGGTCTGTCTAAATTGCGTCAAATTCCCCTTTGAAATTATTCTCCAAAATTTAACACCTCCATAGTTTTTTTCATAAAGGTCCATGACACTTTATCAAAGGCCTTCTCTGCATCTACAAACACCAATGCCACTTGCTTTTCATTCTTGACTTCCAGGTACTCTAGTATATCAATTATATTCCTGTTCTTTCCTTGATAACCTGGCTGTTGGCACCTCTGTCATTGCTGCCAAAGGAGTTTTTTTGCCACTGCCCACAGTGTACTCAGCATCATCTGTCCCCTCAAGATGGGCACAGGTGCAACCACCCCAAACCTGCACATCAGTAGCCAGCTCACACTGCCCGAAGCATCAAATTGCTGGCAAGTTGGTCCAAAGAAAAGTGTTATGTTAGAACATTTTTGCTCTAGAAGGGCATTGCAAAGTTTGGAGAAGTCTCATTTTCTCAGGATGGATATCTCTTGGTTCGTGAATTGCCTTGGAAAGTACGAAAAGATCCCCTTTGAATGTGAACATAATTTCTCCCCTAACCCTAGACAGACCCACAGAAGAAACAGGCAGGAGCAATTTTAAAGGGATGCACATGATCTCTGGGTAATAAAATGGAACTTCTTTTTGCTCCTCTTTCCTAACAGTAATACAAACAGCAGCTTGCAATATGGAGCAGACATTCTGGTTCTTAGAAAGAAAGAAAGAAAGAAAGAAAGGCCGTAAAAAGAAGCCATATTTGGACCTGCTGTTTGTAATTCCTTGGTTCAGAACCACCAGCTGATCTTCTGTTGTCTAACAGCGCCTTGTCGCTTTGAATGGACTGCATCTTCTCTTTCTCGCAGCGCAGCTCTCTGTAAACGGGCCCTTTCTTCTGTGAACTTCTGGTAATTTGAGCATATGGGATATCTTCTCTGACCATCCGGATAACAAGTTGCCTAATCTAGTTTTAGCACCTTCTGGATTCTAAGGGTGGAGCCAAGCTGAAATGAAACTCTTTCTGAGTTAAACTACCTTTGTGATTAAAGAACCCCTGGGAAATTTGTATGCTTGTGTGGACATAGCCAGAACTCCGTTCGTTTAATCAGCTTCGCCTAATGGCACTCTCAGTTCACTTGTTTTATATATCCCCCCCCCCAACTTCTAATCTGCCTGCTAAATCTAGGATTTTTGTGGAGTGGCTTTCTTTTTCTTTCTTTCTTTCTTTCTTTCTTTTTCTTTTAAATGGCTGTTCTACATCTCTTATCTCCTGTGATAGTAGATTGCAATTTACATTATGCAAATATGCATTATGCAATCAAGCCACTTTAACTGAAATCTGGCAAGGAGGACCTGCTGATGAGATGTAAAAATCTGAAGGCCTGATTTATTTTCTTCCCCCCTCTCTCTTCCCCCATGTTTCTGAAAGCTTGGAGAGAACCCTTTGCATTAAACTCAGAAAAAGAGTCGACTCAACTCAACCCTGAAGAGGTAAAATCAAGCCAGCACAGAGGATGAATGAAATCAGTGAGCTACTGAAGCCACTTTTTCAATTAATGGCTTTGTTTAATCATACCCCCTGTCCAGAGGAGGATTGTCTTACGGATAATTTCGTTTGCCTAACGAGATTTTGCTAATTAAATCTCCTTTTGGTTGGTGTGACTCTCCCTGCAGGGATAGGGGAAATGTTTGTGAATCCTTTCCCCACTGCTGGCTAAATAAACCTTTCCACTCTGCTACAGAAGTGGGGTGCGGGGAGCCAGGAATTCTTGTCTCCAAACACTGCTTTGGAAATTAATTAGCTATAGAAACCCCTGAAAAGATGCTTTGTTGTATGTGAGCGAGGGTGGCTGTCGAATAACATTGCCTGCCTTGCAGCAGGCTTTAAAGCCAGACAGCTTTTGGAGTGCCTTCCTGCTGTTCCTGCGTGTTTGCTGCTAAATCAGGTAGCAGCAGCTGTTTATCCCCCTGCAAATGTTTGCCGTCACCCCCCCCCCTGTATGGCAGAGTGTCCCTGCAAATAGAGGCCTTGCTATAACCGCTCTCACACATAACGCAGCTGCAAGCCAAAACCGGCACCAGTTGCCAAGTGATTTAGCCACCAGAATCACAGCATAAACTCGAAATGATGCTGGAAATTTGTCGGCACTCAGGAATGTTTGCGAGACACGGGGACCGCAATCGCCTGAATGTTTTGCTGTAGGTTTTGGCATCCCCCCCCCTTGAATAATTAACTACTCTCAGATAAATGTTTCCTGTGTTCAACCAGGGCTAGCTGGAATGTAAACGCCAAAAGCTTTGCACGATGATGGATTGCCAGTTGGCTTTGACTCTGGGCTCTGGGCCAAAGATGTGGAGCGACGCTCCCATATATAGAGAGGCAGGGAAATAGAACCAACTCCAGATTCTGTCATTCTTAGATCCTCACAGTTTGGGGCATTTTCTCTTGAAGATAAGGCTGTCGGTGGCTGCTATCCAAGATAGATATATTCTACTTTCAGTTTCTGAAGCAAGATGCTTCTGAAGAGCGGTTGCTGGGGAATCACAAGTGGGAGAGTGCTGTTGTGCTCATGTCCTGCTTGTAGGCTTCCCAGAGGCAACTGGTGGGCCACTGTAAGAACAGGATTCTGGACTAGATATTGGCTTTTCGCCTGATCCAGCGGGCCTCTTGTTTGCATTCTACTGAGAGTTGATGCTGCAGAGCTGTTGCCAGTCTGTGGTATGGACAGGAGACACGGCCTTGGAGAAGGCAGATTCCCATGCTCATATGACCCTTGCTGATCAGAAGGTCGGCGGTTCGAATCCCCGCGATGGGCTGAGCTCCCGTTGTTAAGTCCCTGCTCCTGCCAACCTAGCAGTTCAAAAGCACGTCAAAGTGAAAGTAGATACATAGGAACCGCTCCGGCGGGAAGGTAAATGGCGTTTCCGTGCGCTGCTCTGGTTCGCCAGAAGCGGCTTAGTCATGCTGGCCACATGACCTGGAAGATGTACGCCGGCTCCCTCGGACAATAAAGCGAGACGAGTGCCGCAACCCCAGAGTCGGCCACGACTGGACCTAATGGTCAGAGGTCCCTTTACCTTTACCTTACTTGTGGTTTTGGGTCAGATAAGTTTACCTGCTTCCATAGATGCCCACATGTAAAGCTTTGTGTGCACTGGCTTTCTTAAGGCCATCTTTCATTGGACATCCTGTTTTTTCATTCAAAGGGAAATTGGTGGTGAACTGATGGGACCTATCCTATTCCGAGTTGGACTAGCATTGGCTATAACCTTTAATTTTTTTAATGTTGGCATCAGACCTGCCCAACCATGCCGGGTGCTGATGCTCAGTGCAATCAAAACCAACCTTTTTGACTTGGAACTGGAAATCTATGGGAGCGGGTGAAGTTGTTTCAGAGCTAGAGTAATATGTTCTGTGTGCTGCCCTGCTCAATAACTGGCAGCTGCATTCTGGATCAGACGCAGATTCTGGGTTCTGTTCAAGGGCAGCGACAGCATAGAGACAACTGCAGTAATAATGACTCTTTATTTATTGAGCGCAGTTGAGTCTTGGACATTATTTTGTCATATATACATACCCTCCAACATTTATCTGATGAAAATAGGGACATCCTATTCAATGATGATGACAATAACAACAACCACAACAATTCTACAATTTATACCCCACCCATCTGACTAGGTTGCCCCAGCCATTCTGGGCAGCTTCCAATGTATATAAAAACATAAAAGCATAATAGAACATTAAACATTTAAAAACTTCCCTTCAGGTGGCTTGGGGGTCGTATAATTCCATACCCTTCAACATATCTCTGATAAAATAGGGATATCTTAAGGAAAAGCAGGACATTTCAGGATCAGCTCAGAAACCAGGACAGCTTCTGTAAATCTGGGACCGTCCCTGGAAAATCGGGACACTTGGAGAGTCTGTATATAAGTAAATTCCTTCCAGTAGCACCCTAGAGACCAACTAAGTTTGTTATCGGTATGAGCTTTCGTGTGCATGCACACTTCTTCAGATACCAGAAGTGTGAATGGACACGAAAACTCATACCAATAACAAACTTAGTTGGTCTCTAAGGTGCTACTGGAAGGAATTTTTTTATTTTGTTTCGACTACAGCAGACCAACACGGCTACCTGCCTGTATATAAGTAAGCAATTCAAACAACATATATGCCTTTCTGACCTGGATGTGTCTATTTACATGGCAATTTTTGCCTGCTACATAATGTTATTTAATTTTTTAATTACATACCGGCTGTGCAGACTTACGAATGGCTTAACTCGTGTTTTGATCTCAAGCTAACATCACCTGCTTGGGGAACCTGATTTCTGGTGCTTGCCAAGCCTGCATTCCCAACATATGTTGGAACTGTTCAGAAAGCCATAATGGCAGATGGATCTTTCCCCAAAGGTGATCGTAGAGGTTCTGGGGGCTAGGATAGGAATTACCGTATTGCGGGAGAGAAAAAATTGTGTGAATCTGACCTGTGTTATGTGTGAGCTGAGGAGGCAAAGAAAAAAGAAAAAAAACCAAACCCATGCAGTGTGTTTACTCTGTGATGTCTCAATGAAGTTGGCTACTTCAGCAGTTAACAATATTTATGTTCAACCACAAGCTCCTGCTGCTGTGGGTGATGAATCCTTGATATGGGATGTAGTAATTTGTGGCGATGTAAATCATAGCTAACAGGTTAATGAACTGTAGCTTGACTCTATATAAGTTCTGCCACTCTCACCTGCTGCACTCCTTATGCCATCCTCCTTTTAAATCTGTTCAGCGATACTTCACTTGCAAGGTGAGTGACATGAGAGTTGGCTAAGTGTAAAAGAGATCTTTCATTAGTGCTGAAATGAGCCGTACATTCAACACCGCCTTAGAATCCTTCATGGGAAGAAAACCCCTAACATCTCATATGACACTTCCTCCCATGCAAGTTTGCATTCTCCATCCTAAGAGCTGATGACATGGACCAATGGGGTGCTCTCCATACACTGTTGACTACAACTCTCAACATCTTGGAGATGAGGTTCTTAATGCCAGCGCCATGGGTTTGAGCCCCATGCTGGGCAAAAGATTCCTGCATTGCAGTGGCTTGGTCTAGATCAGCCTTTCTCAACCTGTGGGGTCCCCCAGATGTTGTTGAACTACAACTCCCATCACCCCTAGCTAGCGAGGCCAGAGATCAGGGATGATGGGAGTTGTAGTCCATCAACATCTGGGGACCCACAGGTTGAGAACCGCTGGTCTAGATGATCCTCATTGTCCCTTCCAACTCTATGATGTTGATTTAAAGCAGAGCCTTGGTGCCCAGCGGAAGGATGAGGAAAATGTGTTACATACTCTATGTTGCTTTATTTACAGTTCAAAGCTGGTATATTACAGAAAGACATCTTGCGTCTGCAGGAGCAGAAAAATGCATCCTCTCTCCTCTCTCAGCTCGGAGAGAATCACACAGTGAAAAAACAGGAAACCAGTGTACGTCACATCCAGTCTCCCTTTCCCGTGAGAAAACCCAACAGTACAGACTGTGGAATGTAAACACCTGTCTTGTGACTGCAGAGCTGCACAGTGAAGGAAAACAGAAACCAACATCCTCCCCCTTTCTGTGAACATCACTGGGCAGCGTGTTCGTACAATATCAGTACAAACCCAACTTCTGCACATAGGTACAGTGTTGATCCCTTGATACAATCTTGGACAATACATCAGCAGGAATTTTATTACCTGGCATATAGGACACCGTTACGAGTCCCTTCTGAATACATTCCCTAGCATGCTGCAACTTCAATTGCAAGTGCTTTGTGCTTTGCTTACAACCTTCAGACTTCAGCAAAGCCAAACATGCTTTGTTGTCCTGGTAAACCTGGATTGGACATTTGACAGGAATTTTCATATCTTTGCACAATTGTACTAACCATTCATAATCCTTAAGTGAATAAGACAGTGCATTGAGTTCGGCTTCACAAGTACTTAAGCTAACTGTTGTTTGCTTCTTGCATGACCAATCAAACAGACTCTGATTGTACATGTAGCAAACTCCAGACGTACTTTTCCTGTCTGTAGCGTCACTTCCAAAACTTGCATCTGCAAATATCTCAAGACCACCAGACTTCTGATTGTTAAATCTCAGTCTGTAATGCATAGTGCCTTTCAAATACCGCGCTATGCGTTTCAGAGCTTTCCAATCCTTGACACTAGGATTGTTGACTTGTCTGCTTAGCAAATTACAGCTAACAGCAATGTCTGGTCTTGAACATCTGGCAATGAAGTTTAGCTTGCCTAGCACACTCCTGTACAGTGTAGTGTCAGAAAATGCTTCTTCAGTGTCATCTACCTGATAACCTGTTGTCATCGGTGTGTCTACAGGGTTAGCATCCATCAGATTTAGTTTGCTTAACACATCAGCAATTTTCCGTGACTGGTGTACTAGAATGTTACCATCTTGATCTCTCTCTATTTCCAGAGATAGGTAGTTGTTTACCTCACCAAGATCTTTCATGTCAAAGTGCTCTTTCAGTTGAGCTAGGGCGCTATTGTACATTGCAACATCTTTCCAAAAGAATAATAAATCATCAACATAAAACAAACAGTACAGTTTCTTTTGCCCCTCCTCTTTGACAAATACACATGGATCAGCTTTCCCTTGCTGAAAACCTAGAGAAAACAATATTTCAGTGAGTTTTGTGTGCCAACACCGTGCACTTCGTTTGAGACCATAAAGGGATTTCTTCAGAGCACAAACAAATCCCTGTTTTACCTGTACGCCATCAGGTGGAAGCATATAAAGTGATTCATCTAGAGATCCGTACAGAAAAGCTGTATTAATATCATGGTGACTAATGTGTAGATTTTCCTCTGCAGCTAGCTTGAGCATAAGCCTAATGCTTTCATATCTCACTGTGGGTGAATAGGTCTCGTGATAGTCTTCACCTGGTACCTGTGCAAAACCTCTGGCTACCAATCTGGCTTTGTGTCTGACTATCTTGCCATTTTGATCTGTCTTCGCTTTGAAGACCCATTTGCTTCCAAGCAGTTTCATTCCTGGAACTACTGGAACTAGCTCCCATGTTTTGTTCCTTTCTAAGGAATCAAGCTCAGCCTTCATGGCATTTAACCATGGCTCAGCTTCCTTCGAATCCAAACCCTGGATTTCTTGGAAACTTGAAGGTTCAAATACCTTCTTGGAGCTTTTAACAGCTGTTACTGCTATCTTAGCAAACTCATCAGCAAATCTCTTTGGAGGTTTGCCTTTGTGGCTCTCTGTGACCTACGAATTAGCCTTAAGTCTTCAACACTCTCCTCTTCCTTCTTAGGAGAAAAACGACCTATTGTGAACAATGGTTCCTCCAATTCTTGATCAGAGCTTTCAGAGGGTCGCATAGAGGCTTTCGCACTCTTGAAATCCTCTGAATCACCCGATTCAGTTTCAGATTCAGACTCAGAACCTTCATCAGTGGGTGTGGGCTGTTGTGGTTGCTTTTGACTATCCTCAGTCTCATCACCGTCATCAGGATAACATTGGAAAATTCCCACATTCTCCCACCACTTTGCATTGTACTCAACACTTCTCGTGAGCTTAATTGTCTTAGAGTCAGTCATCATTATTCTGTAAGACCCTTTCTGATAACCTAGAAAGATACCATGCAATCCACGCTTGTCTAACTTGGAGTTTTGTGGTGAGCGAACCCACATGTCAGAACCAAAAATCTTCATGTGTTTGATGTATGGCTTCTTGCCAAACATCTTCTCATAGGGGGTACAACCAATCGCTGAGGATAATCTGCGATTGTAACTGTAAACAAAACACGAGAGAGATTCGGCCCAATAACTCTCTGGTAGATTGGCATCATGCAGCAAGGTTTTTAACCCTTGAAGCAAAGTCTGATTTGCCCGTTCCGCAAGTCCATTCTGCCATGGCGAGCGAGGACTAGACAAATCGTGTTGAATTCCTTTCTCAGTCAGAAAAGCTTCAAACTGCTGAGAAGTGAATTCCCCCCCGCGATCACTGAAAAGAGTCTTTATCTTCTTACCATGCACATTTTCCAACCAAGCACAGAATTCCTTGAACCTAGGAAAAGCCTCCGATTTCTGCTTGAGATTGTACACAAAAATATATCTAGAAAATGCATCAATGAGAACCATGAAGTATCTATTTCCACCCAAAGAGGGCGCAAGTGGTCCAACCAAATCAGCATGAACAACCTGGTATGGTTCTGTAGCTTTCCTACTAGACACCTTACCTTTCGCAGCCATTTTCACCTTGTTTGCTGCGCATGCTTTGCACTTCATGTGGTACCTGCAGGGTTTAATAGTCATACCTTCAACCAAGGCAGGCATTTTAGATACTGCCTCAAAATGCAAATGACCAAATTTGCGATGAAAATCGTGAATACATTCTGCATGCAAACTTTTGTTAGAACCTGCAATGCAACAAGTGTCATCCTGCACCACATCATCATAATACAAAACAAACAAACGATCAACATATTCTGCATGCAATACATAATCATTTTTCTTTGTGATGATGCACTTCTTGTTCTTGAAGGAAACGTCAATGTTCCGCTCATTCAGCTGTCCAACGCTGAGCAGATTATGTTTGGCGTCTGGCACGTAAAGCACCTTCTGTATCGATAAGTCCAAACTGTGAAGAACAACAGTTCCGTAGCCTTTACTGGGAATAGTGTGGTCATCCGCCTGGTGAATCGCACCTTCCTGCGGTGTAAAAGACACAAACAGTTTCTTATCGTTGCACATGTGGTGGGTGGCCGCTGAATCAATTACGAAGAAAGATCTAGACGTCTTCTGGACCTCTGCAACCTTTGGAGTGAAGCGTGAAACCATAGCCTTGTGTTGCGTTGTCCTAGACACCGGACCTTTGCCTTTGCCTCGGCCTTTTCCGCGCGATGAGCTTTCGCTGCGCTGCTCTGTCTTGGCCCTGGGATGTCTGCATTCCCTCTTCATATGGCCTAGACGTCCACACGTGTAGCATTTCACTGCCTTCAAAGCTTTGGCGCCATCTGGTGGTTCCACTGCACTATGGGATGACGTCTGTGAAGACTCCCCTTGCCCATGCAGCTAGCACCCCGGC